GGCTCTCTTCGCCTCACAGCTGTTCTTCACTTCACCTTTGTTTTAATTTTAAGATTTTTATATCTTAATTTTAGATAGAGAGGGAGAGAGATTGAAACATAGATTTGTTGTTTCACTTATTTATGCATTCATGGTTGATTCATGTATGTGCCCTGACAAGGGATTGAACCCACAACCTTGGCAGATCAGGATGATGCTCTAACTAACTGAGCAACTTGGCCAGGGTCACCTTTGTTTGTAAGCCAACTTGCTCGTCTTTCATCTTACTCTAGTAAAGTGCTCCTAACTATAACCTCCCTCTTTATTTCCACCTTGAGTCCACCCCTCTTTCAGTGTGGCCTCTCCTCCCACTGAAAGGTGAGAGAAACAAACATTTGCCCCATGTCTTCCTTCTGTTGTGTGAAGGCTACTCTTCCTCTTCCCTAAATGAAGAGAAGAGGGTAGAGACCGCTGAGTTTCCAAATGTACACCTTTCCTTCTGTTGGCAGTTTTGGTCCCTGATGTGTCTGAATATTTTCTAAGCTAGGTATTCGGAACAAGTATCCTACATACAGTCCACATTTTGCCTTCTGTTGGTTAGTTTCGTTTTAGTCCTTTTCCCACCAATGTACAATTAGGAAATGTTTTAGGGGTTCAGAAATAATCTGCCTTCCGGTGTCCTTCCCCGTGGCCTTCTCAGAAATTTAAATCCCTCTTTTCTCTGAATATTCACTTATAAAATAAAAACATAATTAGGAAGAAAAACAAAAACTGGAAACCTATCTTGGTTTCCCATCCTTTATATGGAAATGATTATAAGTCTTATTTATTAAGTTGGTGGATGTCAAACTCAATTCAATTTAAAAATGTATAAATGATTCAATAAAAACACAACTGCCTGTCTGAAGAGAGGGCTAAAAAAAAAAAAAGACACTTAGGTGTGATGATAACAGGTGGCCTGGTAAATACTGGGACCTCAGACATTGTGTGGGCCTTATAAAGTCCTCTGGGTGGCAGGTACAAGATCTTGTTTGACAGGGAGGAAGCTCAACTTGGATCCTTTAATGTATTTAGTTTTTGTTTCTCTTATTTAGGAAGTCAAAACACCGACCTCATTTCAAAACGTCCACAGCGCCCTAGGATCTTCCCAAGGTTTAGGCCCTGAAGGTGTATGTCAAAAGTGTTGGGTGGTGAGCTATGTCACCAGAAGGAAGCCTTGTGCTATTTTTAAATTGATGCAACACACTGAAACATCATACACATATCATACCAATGACACACACATTACATTGTAACATAGCATGTGTCATACATACATTCTCTCTCACTCACACATACTCGCTCTTCTTGTCCAGCGTTAGAAAAGGAAGGCTGCCAGGAAGCCGGGCCCAATGATTCACGTTCAAAAGGCTGTTAACGTTTAAAAAGCAAGTGTCCCCCTAGTTCTCAGCCTGGCTTTGAGACATGTGGGAGCGCTTCAAAGCCGCGGTGCCCCTCTCGGAGAGCTCAGGCTTGCAGTTGGTCCCCAAATGTTTACCAGCATGAAGATGCCTAACTTACAGGAAGTGGGAAATGGGCGTGGGGGGTGAGGGTGGGTGGGTAGGGAGTGGGGAGAAGAGGGTGGGGGGTGTTCTCTTGATGTGGTTAGTCTGTCATTGACCTTGTTTGGTTAAAGCAGGAGTTGAATTAGAAAATGAAAACGTGTTTCTTCTCAGGCACATTTCATCCCATCTTTTACTTTCCTTAGGAAAGAAAAAATAATCTTTTCCCCCCAAGTGAAGTCAGGTCTCCAGATTTGGTATTCAATCTCCTTTCATTCTACAATAGTCTTCTCCTCCAGTTATCTGCCCCTTACATTGCAGTTCCCAACCCACCTAAGGACTGGGCCGGGACCAGTAGCTGAAACTGAGTAGCAAGGTTTTGTTGAGCCGTTGTGATGATACCATCAAAGGGAACATATGGGGGTTTCAGAGAGCCAGCTATTTAGATCCTTCATGATTTGCTGCTATTAGGAACAGCCTTAATGAGAGAACTCTGCCTGCGAAGTGCTGATTAATAAAGGTAACTGAGGTTGGTTATTTTCCCGGTGTTTTAAGAGGGAGAAAAATAATATAGTGACTAAAAATGGGCCAAATTATTAGTTGGAAACAAACATTTTGAGACTTGAGATCTCAGACAGTGGCAACCTCAGATAGCCCTCTCTGCACAGCTGTACCAATGCCAGCGTCGTCCTGCTTTCGGCGTCATTCTAAATGTGATGCTTGGGCCTTCTCCAGGGGTGAGTGAAGTTCAGAAGGTCATCCCCTTTTCTTCCCCTTTAACTATTTTGTGCTGGACAGTACCTAAATATGACTATATGAACATGCTTTTTCTTATTATGCAGGAGGCTTCCTTTACCTCATTCCTTCTTCCTTTTTTGGCATGTTTTATTTATATTATTGCCTATCCTTGAGTGCTATAATTGCAATTTTTAAAAATGGTTTGGTTTAGGGGTGTGTGGTGGTGGTTGTTGTTTTGGTATTATTTTAGACAAGAAGAAAAGATTTGAAGAATTTTATGATCCAACACTCTGTGTCTCCAAATTTACTTTCCTTAAGGTTCCACTCGTGCCTTCGCCAGCTCAGCTGGAACACCTGGAACTAATTTTAGGGTTGCCCGGCTAAGCCCCACACTGGTATTTGAAGTTTGCGTCCTCCTTAGACTCAAGCCCATTTCACCACCTCTGAAGGTGAGTGCAGGCTGATATTAATTAACAGTGAGTTGATTCACTGGCATCTTCCAGTCATTGAAGTAAATATTTGGCTTAAAATAGCCTCTTCCCACCTCAAATATCCAACTTTTTGCCTATTCCCTTACTCCATCCTGGTTGACTCACCAGGACTTGCATGGTATATGTGGCCTAAGAGCAGAGCTGGATTCTGAAAGGGAAGTGAGGTCCTCTTGAACATCTGCAGGCGAGACTGTTTGAACAGCAGGCCGGCCTTCAGTATGACTACATTGTTTTTCTGTCCATTGTGGCGCTGACTCAGCATCAGTTAGTAAGCCCTCTCAAGAAGGCTGGATTTCTCTTGTTTAATTATCATTTTGGAGCTTTCTGAGAACTCTTAGGAGCTGTTCATTCCGTTTTAGACATCTGCCAACTAAAAGTCCTGTTTCCTCTTGGTGCTAGCGTCCCCTCTGGCACAGTGTGCAACAACACGTCACCAGGCTGTAAGCAGAGAGTGTGTTACTTATGTCCCCTAGTGGGAATTTAATTATTCTGTACTACAGAGGTTGTGGAAGGGTTTTAGACACAAAAAACATTTCCTGGCACGTAATCTTTGGCTTCCCACCGCCTGCCCCCTATCTTCCCCAAAAAAGTTCTAGAAAAGCTTCTTGAAAAGGAGAAAAGAAATTTTAAAGATAAACAGACAATATTTTTATGATTGAGTTGGGATTTTGTTTTGCTTGGTTTTGTTTCTTCCTGTAAACAAATACTCAGATGTCCACTTCATTGTATGACTAAGTTGGTATTATTATGTTGAGACTGGGTGTGTGTACGTGGGTGTGTGTGTGTGCGTGTGTGTGTGTGTGTGTGTGTGTGTGTGTGTTTTGAGACGTGGGTGTGTAGGCACACGTGTATTTAAAATAAAGAAAAGACATTGCAGCCAAAGGTGGAAGGAGAGATGGTTTTAAAAACAACCACCTCTATGAGGCAAGCAGGAAAAGTGGGAGACTGTGTCAGTGATCTACAGAGTAATTGCAAAGGGGTGCCTGCTGTAAATGGACCCTATGCATCATTGTTTCTCTGAATTAGAGGATTCCTTGCTGAAGGCACAAGGCCATCGAAGGAAGTAAAGCATCTGGTTTGTTTTGTAATGAGAAGCAGGAAAGCAAGGTCTACGCTCTTAATAATAAACAAACAGGACATTGTATGCCATCATCACAGGATGTCCTTCCTTCAACTAAGGACTGACTGGGGCTGGAGGAAAACCCGGGCTCCGAATGAACGACAGGGCTTCCAACGAACCCCACTAATTACTGCCTCTGTCTGCCCTCCACTTGGAATGACCTGTTCAACATTCCCTTTAACTGGGAAACGATTAATACACTACATGCTTACACACTTCTCAGAAGTCTGGCTGTGGGTTTGGGGGGGAGAGAAAAGGCAAAAACACGTTAATCTGTAGGATGATGACTTTTTCCTATTTCCCTATTTACTAAATAGTTGAAAAGGGGAAGTTAGCTCTGCCAAATTTGAGTGCATTTTAGTTAACAGGAGAAATGGAAGCTTACAGGTGTGTGTGTGTGTGTGTGTGTGTGTGTGTGTGTGTGATGTATTTCATAGATAATAGCTTGAGGACTAGACAGCAACCTTTTATTACATTAGATTTAAAAAATAATTTCACTTGCTCTTTCCAAATAAATTTCGTGTAATCTGTAACTGGATTTGAGCCGAGGTGAGAATATTTAGAATACAATAACAGCCCGAGTCAGCGCGGAGGGTAAGTGCCTTCAAAGGGAAGAAGGATGAATGTTGAAATCACAGGCGAACCGAGGAAGCTGAGCCGCGGAGGCTCTGGATGGGGGAAAGCGCGGGGCCGGGCCGGGCTGCGCTGGTGCAGGTGAGGCCACGCCCCCACTTCGGGCGCTGGTGTTGAGTCGAATATTTAGAATACAATAACAGCCCGAGTCAGCGCGGAGGGTAAGTGCCTTCAAAGGGAAGAAGGATGAATGTTGAAATCACAGGCGAACCGAGGAAGCTGAGCCGCGGAGGCTCTGGATGGGGGAAAGCGCGGGGCCGGGCCGGGCTGCGCTGGTGCAGGTGAGGCCACGCCCCCACTTCGGGCGCTGGTGTTGAGTCAATCAGACAAATGGGAAATCTGCAGCTGGGAGGGGAGAGCCGCCGCGCGGGTTAGCTTAGCGCAGACTGAAAGTGCCGCCGCGACACTCGGGCCTCAGTGCTCGCGGAGGAGGGCAGCGCGCAGCACCTGTCCGCCGCCCAGAGCCGGGACGCGGCGCCCGGCCGCCGTGATCGCGAGGGACCCGCCGCGGTGCGCGTCCGTCTCTAGCCCGCGCCGCGAGGGGACGCGGAGGAAATGTGGACTGTGTAGAGATGAGCGACACTGATCTCCGATGTTGGATATTTGCTTGGAAAAACGTGTGGGTACGACCTCGGTAAGGAACTTGGATCTTCTCTGTGAATCTGAAATTGATCTGAAAACTTTTTTTTTTTTTTGCTCTCGTCTCAGTAGAAACCAGAAAGGCTCCTGCTTGAAGGCACTTAGAACTGTCAAACATTTATAAGGCTTTTTCCTTATGAATCATTAACCCTTTCAGTTCTAGGCGTCATTGTCAAGTCACTGAAATTGCAGTAGTGGCTTCTGCCCGGTCCTGTCCAACAAAGTAACGATTCCGGTGGGCTTACTTTTTTAAGTTTTGTTTTATTTTTAACACATATTCGGCATCATGACTGTGCATGTTGCAACTCCGTAAAAGTAAGCAAGAGTGCTTAGATCATAACTGGAGGGAAAGACAACTTTAAAAAAAAAAGCATCATGTTTAAGGAGACAGAAGAATGTGGAAGCCACCCTGAAGGACTTACCCGGTGTTATGTGTACATTCTAAGGGGCACGGGCTCTAACGCATGTTCCTGCTTTTTATCAAGCATGTGTATATGGGAAAACAGCGCAGAAGTAGTCTACCTTCTCTCTCTCTCTCTCTCTCTCTCTCTCTCACTATCTGCGGGTGAGGAGACACTTCCACATTTTTAAGTGGAAGAAGAGCGAGTGCTCTGAGCCTCCTCTATTTATTATAACTTTAGTTACAGTAAACTGTAGCACATCAGTGACTTCTGGGAATTTGTACACTTTCAGATTTAAATGGAAAGTGCTATTTGTAGCTGAGGGCTCCTGAAGGAATTCTCTCCCGGGAATTCTATTGAACAGTTTTATGTTTTGTTTTTGCTTTTCCACTTGGCGTGGGATGCCCACAAGTCTAAAGGCACTGTGGGGCGTTTGAACCCCTCGCCCATCTTCCCTCCTCTTTCCTGTGGTCCAAACAATTTCTGAAAAGCTGCACCTCGGTGATGCTGGCAGGATGCAATCCTTTCCAGACTCGAGAGGATAAAAGAGATCCCTCAGCAGAGGGGGGCAGGGGGGCAGTTGTTTTGAAAGTTGTTTTGCATTGGGAGCTGGTGGGAAAGTTCAGTCTTCCCCATTTGGAAAAGGCAGGCTGGGTTCCGCTCCTGCAACACACGCGCTTTCCATTTTTAGCTTCATTCACAGGCAGACAGAGCGCCTTCCTCTTCCTCTCCTTGTTTGTGACAGTCTTCTGAGGCAGCTTTTCCACAGCGCCCAGGGTCTGGCAGCCATGACCCCAGGCGTTCTGGGACACAGGACTGAGCGCCCACAACATTTTTCTGCCGTGAGAGGTAAAGCCAGGGATTGTTCAGAGGTGGTTGGTTTTTTTTTTTATCCCCCCAATGAAGTTGCCACACTTCTTTTTTTTAAAAAAACTTTGAGTAGCATTCTAAAACCCTGCTTCTTTAAGGCAGTCTTCTTTATACTGCCTTTTGGCTCTTACTCAACTGTACCAAGCACTCCGCATCTGCTTTTAAAGTCTTCAGACTACTGTATTAGTCATAGCCTCCTGGAGGAGCCACAGGACAATGGGGATTAAAGGCCTTGCCCTTCTCTTCCAGGCTGCCCCGAAGTGTGACTCCAGCGCTGTGAGGTTTCAAGGGTTGGCAGAGGGGACGGAGGGGACCATGAAAATGGACATGGAGGACGCGGACATGACTCTGTGGACAGAGGCTGACTTTGAAGAGAAGTGTACATACATCGTGAATGATCACCCCTGGGATTCTGGAGCCGACGGAGGGACTTCAGTTCAGGCAGAGGCATCCTTACCCAGGAATCTACTTTTCAAATACACCACAAACAGCAAAGAGGTAAGTTGCTGCTTTATTGCTGAAGAAGATTGGCATCTGATGCCAAGTCTCCCTAGGGGCTCTGGAGGCCTCCTCTATCTGTGAAGATCTCTAAGTGCCTGGAAGTAATTGATCACTCACTCCACTTCTCATTGCTTTC